GGAAACGTCAGTTTTTTGTGCTGCTGTATATATTTTGTGGATGAAAAGTTTATTTCCTTCTTTATGTCACTGACACATAACATAAAACAAAAAAACACGATTTATCTTTGCTTAGATAAAAAAATACCATGAAGACGTTTGGGACGCTATGTTAGCCAGTTAGCAACTTGAACTATGCGTGGATAGACGTACGGTTTCGGGCGCTATAAAGATAATTTTATGTATGGAAAAACATTTTTCTCGCTATTGTTACTTACATTACTATTTCATTAACCAAAATTACGAAGTATTTCAAAATGATTTTGGTTCAGATAAACATTAAACCTTCCGGACGCTTTGTCGTATACGTGGTTTTTTAGCAAGTGAACTTGAGTCTAAGGTATGAATGTTTTTTTTATATAAAATAGAAAAAATGATAAGTAAGATTATTTTTTTTCTACCATAAATACCTCAATACATAATAATATACATTATTTACAATAAAATATAACCATTCTGACTGTTTAAATAAAGATTAATGCTTCGGGACGCTTCATGACATTTCGGGACGCTAAATTCTTCGGGACGCTTTGTTAGCGCACCTAGGGAAACGTCAGTTTTCGCGCTGTAAAATAATATTTTGTGGATGAAATGTTTATTTCCTTTTTAATGTCACTTACACGTATCATAAAAGAACTTAATTACGATTTATCTTTGCTTAGATAAAAATAAAAACCATGAATACGTTTCGGGACGCTATGTTAGTCAGTTAGCAACTTGAACTATGCGTGGATAGACGTACGATTTCAGGCGCTATAAAGATGATTTTATGTATGCGAAACATTTTTCTCGCTATTGTTACTTACATTACTATTTCATTAACTAAAATTACGAAGTATTTCAAAATAATTTTGGTTCAGATAAACATTAAACCTTCCGGACGCTTTGTCGGTATACGGTGGTTTTTGAGCAAGTGAACTTGAGTCTAAGGTATGTTGGTTTTTTTATATAAATAGAAAAAAATGATAAGTAAGATTATTTTTTTCTACTATAAATACCTCAATACATAATAATATACATTATTTACAATAAATATAACCATTCTGACTGTTTAAATAAAGATTAATGCTTCGGGACGCTTCATGACATTTCAGGACGCTAAATTCTTCGGGACGCTTTGTTAGCGCACCTAGGGAAACGTCAGTTTTCGCGCTGTAAAATAATATTTTGTGGATGAAATGTTTATTTCCTTTTTAATGTCACTTACACGTATCATAAAAGAACTTAATTACGATTTATCTTTGCTTAGATAAAAATAGAAACCATGAATACGTTTCGGGACGCTATGTTAGTCAGTTAGCAACTTGAACTATGCGTGGATAGATGTACGATTTCAGGCGCTATAAAGATGATTTTATGTATGGAAAACATTTTTCTCGCTATTGTTACTTACATTACTATTTCATTAACTAAAATTACGAAGTATTTCAAAATAATTTTGGTTCAGATAAACATTAAACCTTCCGGACGCTTTGTCGGTATACGGTGGTTTTTGAGCAAGTGAACTTGAGTCGAAGGTATGTTTGTTTTTTTATATAAATAGAAATAAATGATAAGTAAGATTATTTTTTTCTACTATAAATACCTCAATACATAATAATATACATTATTTACAATAAATATAACCATTCTGACTGTTTAAATTAAGATTAATGCTTCGGGACGCTTCTTGACATTTCGGGACGCTAAATTCTTCGGGACGCTTTGTTAGCGCACCATGGGAAACGTCAGTTTTCGTGCTGTAAAATAATATTTTGTGGATGAAATGTTTATTTCCTTTTTAATGTGACTTACACGTATCATAAAAGAACTTAATTACGATTTATCTTTGCTTAGATAAAAATAGAAACCATGAATACGTTTCGGGACGCTATGTTAGTCAGTTAGCAACTTGAACTTTGCGTGGATAGATGTACGATTTCGGGCGCTATAAAGATGATTTTATGTATGGAAAACATTTTTCTCGCTATTGTTACTTACATTTCTATGTCATTAACTAAAATTACGAAGTATTTCAAAATAATTTTGGTTCAGATAAACATTAAACCTTCCGGACGCTTTGTCGGTATACGGTGGTTTTTGAGCAAGTGAACTTGAGTCGAAGGTATATTAGTTTTTTTTATATAAATAGAAAAAATGATAAGTAAGATTATTTTTTTCTACCATAAATAACTCAATACATAATAATATACATTATTTACAATAAATATAACCCTTCTGACTGTTTAAATTAACAATAATGCTTCGGGACGCTTCAGGACGCTTCGGGACGCTAAATTTCTTCGGGACGCTTTTTAGTGAGACCGCCAGATAATATGTATGAAATTTTTTGCTATTTGTTTAACATCATTTTAGACTCGGGAATATTTCCTGAAGTATGGAGTAAGGGTATTATTTTGCCAATATATAAGAATAAAGGTGATGTTTCTGATCCAGACAATTATCGTGGTATTACAATTTTGAGCTGTTTTGGTAAACTTTTTACGAATGTTCTTAATACTAGACTCAATAATTTTTTAGAGAATAATAATATATTGTGTGAAGAGCAAGCTGGATTCAGAAAGAATTATAGTACAACAGATCACATCTTTTCCTTAAAAATGTTAATTGATCTGTATTTGTCTAAAGGTAAAAAACTGTATTGTTCATTTATTGACTACAGGAAAGCCTTTGATAGCATTAATAGAACTGCACTCTGGCAAAAATTGTTAAGTAATAATGTTGATGGTAAATGTATAAAAATAATATATGATATGTATAAAAAAGCTAAATCTTGTGTTCAGGTGAACTCCTTTAGTAAAATGTCAGATTTTTTCACAAGTCATACAGGTGTTAGGCAAGGTGAAAATCTTTCGCCTGTTCTATTTTCTTTGTTTTTGAATGATTTAAGCCAGTTTTTGTCACAACATTATAATGGTCTAGTTTCATTATCTTCAGTAGTAAATGATACTCTGAGTAACTTCGATGTTGAGGTTTATTTTAAATTGTACATACTACTTTATGCTGATGACACTGTAATTTTTGCTGAAACTGCAGATGAATTGCAAAAGGCACTTGATGCAATGAGTAGTTACTGTAATATGTGGAGTCTCCAAGTTAATCCTGCAAAAACTAAAATTGTTGTATTTTGTAAAAATGTACGTGGTATTCGTAATGCTCCTAATTTCATTTTTGAAGGTAATATGTTAGAAGTAGTCGACTCTTTTTCATATCTTGGCGTAAAGTTCTCGTATAATGGTAAATTTACTAAAACAAAAGAATACTTGTTACAACAAGCTAGAAAAGCAATGTTCTCTGTAATAGTAAAGTCTAGAAGGCTGAACCTGCCTATTAGTATGCAAATACATTTGTTTGATACAATGGTAGCACCCATTTTGTTATATGGAAGTGAAGTGTGGGGAATTGAAAATTTAGACTTGATAGATCAATTTCAGTTAAAATTCTATAAACTTATTCTTCGGTTAAAACAAAGCACTCCTAATTGTATGCTATATGGTGAACTAGGGGTGCTACCTTTGTCTATTCATGTTAAGGCTCATATTTTATGTTACTGGAATAGAATTTTAAATGCTAAACCTGAAAAAATATGTCATATATTGTATAATGTTTCTTATAAGTTGTATAGTGATGATAACAATGTAAAACTACCTTGGATCAATTATGTACACAATTTATTGGACTCTCTGGGCATGTCAAATTACTGGATGTATAATATACCTTCTTCACAGCAATTGTTCAAGAACATTGTTAAAACTAGATTGAGAGATCAATATTTACAACAATGGCATAGTTTTGTGACTGAGTCCAGTAAAAGCCTTAATTACAGAATGTACAAAGATTCCTTTGTTTTTGAAAATTATCTAGATACTTTGCCTTACCATTTGTCTAATGCTATTTTAAAGTTCAGATGTACGAACCATAGATTACCTATAGAAAAGGGGAGATTCTTTGGTATCCCGAGAGATGAAAGAACATGTCATTTATGTAATACAAACTCTTTAGGGGATGAATTTCATTACCTGTTTGTGTGTGACTTTTTTAAGCAGGAGCGTCGTAAATATATTTCAGTAAGATATACTAGTAATCCTAATACTTTGAAATATTCATTGCTAATGAATAGTACAGACAAAAACGAGCTTGTTAAACTTGCTGTTTATTGCAGGAAAGTAATGCATGTTTTCAAATGATAAACGAGGTTGTGTAATATATGTATACATTTTGATAGTAAATAGTATTGTGTAGTATAATATTATGTTTCTTAAGGCTAACATGTATTTTTATCACCTATGTGTTAGAAATGGCTCAGTGTCTGATATTGCTCAAATTTTGTCTGATATTGCTCAAATTTAGTCTGATATGATAATTTTCTGTTTATCTAGTCACAGCAAATTTGTATCAGGTCATTTGTTCATGTTATATAGCAAATTTTCCTATGTGTTAGAAATGGCTCAGTGTCTGATATTGCTCAAATTTTGTCTGATATTTCTCAAATTTAGTCTGATATGATAATTTTCTGTTTATCTAGTCATAGCAAATTTGTATCATGTCATTTGTTCATGTTATATAGCAAATTTGTATTACGTCATTTGTTCATGTTTAATATGTTGTGTTCTGATGCCTCTCAGAGGCCTAGAATTTGATAATAAAAGTTCAAAGTTCAAAGTTGAAAACCTGAAGTCCAACTAAAGTGTCTCTGAATGGCTTTAAAGGCAACCAAGGAAGTCAAATTTAGAGTCCAGGAAATTGATTTTAGGGCATACCAAATCATCAGAATCCAGGAGCTTCTGGGGGCTTTGCCCCCTGGGCCCCCGGCGTATTTTCCTCTGATTTTGCAATTTGCTGTTGGCAGCCCTGATTTATTGTATTCATGTATTGTTCAGACTATGAAACTCAAATAAGAAATATTTACATGAATGTTACCGGTAATTATTTTATGGTTTGACTTTTCTTTTATTTTATAGACCTTCAATGGGGGAAGAAGAAAATGACAAAGAAATCATCTCTGAAATAGAGTAAGTGTGCTTACTAAGAATACACAAATAGAATGGTATAGAGATATTGTTTGGTATCATGGCAATGGTAATCTTATATATCCATTATGAAACAAATAGGTTGCTTATCAATCTCACAAACAGATACCAGAAGATATCACTTCCACGGAAAGGTGATAATTTGCCTTTCAGAAAACAAAAATTTCATAATAAATCTAGTATGTTTACAACACTGATGTTGTTTAGTAAGTATTGTCAGCTTCTCTAAATGTCACACATTTCTTATATTTCCTATACAATCAGGGAAGGGACTTCTTGAAAATGTCATAATGTTATATTCCTTTAACAGGCCTCAATATGACTCAAATCAACTTGACTCTGACTCACCTGTAAATGGTCCTGTATGAGTATCTGAATTAATACCTAAAACAATCTCTTAGCAACTCTTCATATGACGTCAAGGAAACTGAATTTAGGATGGTTATTGTATACAGAAAAAGAATGCTGCAAAAAAACAAGCTTAATCTTTACATCATTGAAAAAGGTTATCCATTTAGATTCATAATTTCAAAAACAAATATTTTATATTTTTATTAGTTACGAGGTTAGTTGTGACAGTGGTAAGAGTAGTGCCTCACAGATGAAGGTCCGTAGAAGACTTGATAGGTAAACTTTTATATGTTACTAATTAGATAAGTATAAAAGACATGCCTGTCCTTTGAAAATGAAACTGTTCATTGTTACTCTAACAACATTTATAATATTCCCCGAAAAATTTCGGGGGAGCATATAGTCGTCGGGTCGTCCGTCAGTCTGTCAGTACGTACGTACATCCCGAATTCGTGTCCGGCCCATAACTTTGTTATTTGAAGTCGGATTTTACAACTATTTCACAGAAATGATCACCATATTGAGACGGCGTGTCGCGCACAACATTTTGGTTGCTACCTTGAAGGTCAAGGTCACAGCATGACCTTGCAGCAAAATCGTGTCCCGCCTACATCATCGTTATTTGAAGTTGGATTTTACAACTATTTCACAGAAATGATCACCATATTGAGACGATTTGTCGCACGCAATATTTTGGTCGCTACTATGAAGGTCAAGGTCACAGCATGACCTTGAAGCAAAATCGTGTTGGGCCCATAACTTAGTTATTTGAAGTCGGATTTTACAACGTTTTCACAGAAATGATCACCATATTGAGACAACGTGTCGCGCTCAAATTTGGGTCTCTACCTTCAAGGTCAAGGTCACAGCATGACCTTGCAGCAAAATCATGTCAGGCCTATAACTTGGTTATTTGAAGTTGGATTTTACAACTTTTTCACAGAAATGATCACCATAATTATTGAGACGCGTGTCACGTGCAACATTCGAGTTGCTACCTTAAAGGTCAAGGTCACAGCATGACCTTGAAGCAAAATCATGTCCGGCCCGTGGCCCGTAACTTCGTTATTTGAAGTTTGATTTTACAACTTTTTCACAGAAATGATCACCATATTGAGACGATGTGTCGCGCGCAACATTTGGGTCGCTACCTTGAAGGTCAAGGTCACAGCATGACCTTGAAGCAAAATTGTGTCCGGCCCATAACTTGGTTATTTGAAGTCGGATTTTACAACGTTTTCATAGAAATGATCAACATATTTAGACAACGTGTCGTGCTAGTCGGTAGATAGATCTAATTGAGTAGAAGTGCAGTGCAAATAACAGTAACTCTGCATTGTCTAAGATTGGAATTATCACACTTTATTAAACTTTGTCTGAGACATAACTCTGAAACTACAAAAGATATACTTTTCTGTGTCCAAATCCTAGTCGGGGAGCATCACCCGGTTCAACCGGCTCTTGTTTATCACAATGCTAAAACTTAGTGGCTGTACATGACAACGTAGCTGACAATGACTTGTCAGACTACCAGGATGTTGGTTCCCTTGCTAGAATTCTTGTTCCCATAGTCTGGTACCATAGTGCTGAATGGGAACTAGTTTCAGTAGAGAATTTTATCAGACTGTATAAAGACTTGATTCCATAGACAAGTGATCAGTCTGCAATATCTTCAGACTTCAATAATTAAATAACATGTTATCCTTTAAATATTGGACTTTGTGTACCATAATTGATTTGCCAATCTTTGAATTTAGAACAGTCCAAATTTAAATTATCTTACAATTAAAATACATTAATTACCAACAAAATCAATTTTTAGTATGATTCTTAGAGTGTCTTTCAAGTGTTGCAATGCTATTCATTTTTGGGTCATTTTGCACAATAAACATTGGGTCTAAACATTATTCTGAGAAATCAGAGTGAGTGCTGTTCAGAAATTTTGCACACAAGTTATTAGCCAAAACCTGCATCAAATGGCGCACATGACTTAAAAAATAATTGTCTAAAAAAATTGCAGTTCCTTCATGTCGTAAAACCTCAATGGAGTTCCTTTAAATTACAAATTGTTCAAACACGATATTTCTCTGATTTGCAGAGACTATGGATGCAGCAAGGATCAAGCTGTACCTACCACAGATAAAAGTTGTCTGGAGTTTGATGGGTAAGATAGCTGCAATCAAGATTTTTGATAAATTGTCCCCCTTGTTGTTGTTTGTTTAAAAAAACTGAAGAGTTGCTATTGTTGTTTGAAATTCAAATAATTTCATATTTGTATTCCTAAAAGCTAGTATGTCACAGATAATTGGGCCGAAGATGAAGGTCAGTAGATGTTAACAAGTGCCTTTTGATTCTAACAAATTATTGAAGTAAAGCCCTTCATAAAAAACTGTAATTTGTTAGTTTATGGTAGCGCATTTTGTAATGCACCTATTAAAAAAAAATTGCTACAGAAGGGAGACAATTGCAATTAAACAATTTTCATTGTCTTGACTCTGTTACCTCCCCTTTTCAGTTATCTTCTATTCCACAAGCACAATGCAGCACTAATGGATCCTGGCTGCAGTTCCTCCGAGAAGGCTTTAACCATTGCTGATATGTGGGATAATCTTGAACCAGAGGATCGTGCACGTTACGCCAGGATTGCTTCCCTTGATCAGTCAGATGATTCTATTGACCTGTCAGCAGATCTGCTTGGTATTGACCTGAAACCTCTACACCAGGAACATACAGGTTTGAATACACTTTATATTTTCTTATATATTAAAATCTTAGGCACCTAAAAACTCCTTAGTCAGTATGATTATAGTAGCTGACTTTCAGTTAATTATACATTTTTATAATTTATTTTTTTTATCGTCCAGCCAATAATGTATATACAATGTCATATGGCACAAGACATTTGTTGCTGCATTTGGGTAAGATACAGAATAAGGGAAAAAAATCCATCAAGGCATATAATATACAGTGTACATGTACTTTAAGGAATTGGCTCAGAACCTTCCGAGAATAAAGAGTCTAACTGATACAAGTATATGCACTACATTCATATTGCTTACTGTATGATGATAAAGCATTTAGGGATTAGACAAATTATTCTCCATATCTCTTTATTTATTCAACAACACCATAATCTATGTGACTGATTATCTACCTAATAAACACAATGCGTAGGCAAACATTTACACGTGATTAAGGCCTTTAACAAGCAGGTCTTGAAAAAGACAACTCCTACGTCTATTTGTTACTTTTTGTATGAAATGGTGACATTACTGATTCTTAAATCATTACACAATGGTAGTAAAGCTATAAAGACATGGGTAAAAATACTTCACAATAAAACCTGTCTCCATCATGCACTTTGTCAACTGTATGTGCTGACTTGATGTTTTTTCATTGATTGTATAGGATAAAATTTTAATCTGTCAGCTGACCTATAGGACCATTACTATGACTTGGTCCAGAAATAGATGAACTGACATATACAATAACCCTCACTTTAGGAAAATATAATTGAGCAATTTTTCTTAACTTTGAGCTATCTTGCCATTTAAAAGAATAAGCAAGTTTCTCAATCACAGTAGATAAACAAAATCACTGTACCATGTCATGCAAGCCACAATGCAAGCAGGTGTTACTTATCTAATCACTGCACCTTTCTTCAGGGACCCTTTATATTTTAACCTGAACCTTTCTTGCAATAACAGGATGACATTTAAAAAGATGTTTAAAAGGTTGTTTATACGCTTTGTACATAGTTTAATTAAGATTTCTCAAAAATGAGTGATACCCAGCAAGTAATACTGGTCATATCTCATTGTTAAAAGTAGTATTTTATTGATATATAGCAGAAAAAATAAATCTTTTACATCTTGTACGTTATTTTGTATACTATTTGCAGCCATTGACAACATACAGTATCAGGATGATAGTCAGGAAGTACCGAGCCTCGTTCTTGACCTGTCAGATGAGATACACAAAAATTACGAGTTTCAGTATATCGAGGGCTACGAAGACCTGGGCGTGTTTTATCCAAATGATGTTATGAAAGGGGTATTGTTTTCTTCTTTTTTCATTGACATCTACTTTTTCTTATCAGCAATTCATTCTTTAAGATTCAGACAATTCTTAGATTAAAGATACATATTATATAGGAAGCTGTCTTATCTCCAGAGTCACCTATCTCAGTATGCATGTACATGTAATCTTGATGTAGATGAACATAAACTTATACTGTACTGGTATATGTTAATATTTTTGTGTGGTTATGTATAATTCTTGAGTTTGTTTCGCAGCTTTAAATCTTAAATGGACCCTACAAATATGATTTATTTGTGTAAATATTATAAGATGTTATTTTCACCAAGCTAACACCGAAATAGTGAATTCTTTTTATACAAAATTCCTTTTTACAAATATACTTTCACTTTGGAACTTTCTTATGAAGTTTTCCACTGTCATCAATAAACTTGCATTTAAGGAAGAAGAAAAAAACAATGTAATATTATACATTATTACAATGATTGCAGGATTTTTCAAGAGATTCCAGTGAAAGACTAGAAGACAGCGAGCAAATGAGTCAAATTGTTCCGCAGATGTGATGAAAGAATCGTCATATACTATCTTGTTACAGTGCTTGACTTCATATTGATTTTTGTAACAATGTGGTTTTTAGGCTCTATTGGCAAAATAAGTATCTTATGGCTCTAATGGCAAAATAACTATTTTTAGGCTCTAATGGCTAAGTTAATTTATTTTTTAGGTTCTAATGGCAAAATAAATCTATTTTTTAGGCTCTAATGGCAAAGTAACTTTATTTTTTAGGCTCTAATGGCAAAGTAAATTTATTTTTTAGGCTCTAATGGCAAAATAACTTTATTTTTAGGCTCTAATGGCAAAGTAAATTTATTTTTTAGGCTCTAATGGCAAAGTAAATTTATTTTCTAGGCTCTTATGGCTAAATAACTTTATTTTTTAGGCTCCAATGGCAAAGTAACTTTATTTTTTAGGCTCTAACAGCAAAGTCAATTTAATTTTAGGCTCTAATGGCAAAATAACTTTATATTTTAGGCTGTCATGGCAAAGTAACTTTATTTTTTAGGCTCTAATGGCAAAGTAAATCTATTTTTTAGGCTCTAATGGCACAGTTAATTTATTTTCTAGGCTTTTATGGCTAAATAACTTTATTTTTTAGGCTCTAATGGCAAAATAACATTATTTTTAGGCTATAATGGCAAAGTAAATTTATTTTTTAGGCTCTAATGGCAAAGTAAATCTATTTTTTAGGCTTTAATGGCAACTTAAATTTATTTTCTAGGCTCTAATGGCAAAATAACATTATTTTTTAGGCTCTCATGGAAAAGTAAATTTATTTTTTAGGCTTTAAAGGCAAAGTAAATCTATTTTTTAGGCTCTTATGGCAAAGTAAATTTATTTTCTAGGCTCTATCGGCAAAGTCAATTTATTTTTTAGGCTCTTATGGCAAATAACTTTATTTTTTAGGCTCTCATGGCAAAGTCAATTTATTTTTTAGGCTAAAATGGCAAAGTAAATTTATTTTTTAGGCTCTAATGACAAAGTAACTTTATTTTTTAGGCTCTAATAGCTAAGTAAATTTATTTTTAAGGCTCTTAGGGCAAAGTAAATTTATTTTTTAGGCTCTAATGGCAAAGTAAATTAATTTTTAGGCTCTAATGGCAAAGTAACTTTATTTTTTAGGCCTTTATGGCTAAGTAACTATTTTTTAGGCTCAAATGGCTAAGTAAATTTATTTTTTAGGCAGTAGTGGCTAAATAACTTGATTTTTATCTTGATAATGGACTGATACAAAATGGAAACTGGGCAAGTTTTAAGTGCTTTATCAACAGTAGTGATGCATTTGATCAAACTCTTTATTGGAGGGATTGTTACTTAGATGTTAATTACTGTGAATTCACTTAATTATGTGGGCATTATATTATGTGGTTTTGTCATAAACTACATTTTCGTGGCTTATTAAATTCATAGACTGTCTATTTTACCAAAAGGTAAAATGTAAATAATGTGATGCAAAATAATAGCAGATGAAAAGAGATTTCGTTGCATCTTAAATTGGGTGATTGACCATCCACAAAAACCAGTGCCCCACAAATAATAATGATTTTGCAGTATAACATTTTGATATTGGAATAATGGACAACTTAGAAAATTTAAAGCAGTTCAAGTTCATTTCATGAATTTAGCAAGGTAAACAATACTTTCAGTGTAATATTTATGCATCAACAAACTTGTTCATTGGATAATGGGCATAAAAGCTAATTTCCCAAGCATGATTAACTGGCCATTTTTTTTTAAATTTTCTAACTGTGGTGTGTATGAGGGGGGAGGGGTTTGAGATTCTGAACTGCTTGGTCATTAAATTTGGCAAGTACCAGTTAGATGTGATCAATTTCTGTGCTTCCGGTTACAATGTCCAGGATTTGTGATTTTTGTTGTTAGGTATTTTCTTTCACAAATGTAATGTTGACATAAAACCTGTCACTGAAACATATTATTTCCTGCCACTTATGTTCTGAATTTGGAAAAATTAACATATATGTAGATTTTTTTTGCAAAGAGAAAACCATTACTATCACTTCTAACATACAAATTTAATTAATTTCTTACATGTGTTATTTTACCAATTTATTTCGAATAATTGAATAAGTCAATTTTAGATAAAGTAAAAGAACTTCAGAACTTACAAGAGAATTTTAAAATACATTGTATTGGAAGGTATGTTGATAGTCACAATTATGATTTTGCATTTGGTCTTCTGAAAAAAAAATGCTATCTACCAATTTTATTTTAATTCTGCATTTGTTTGCTTTTTACAGTTGTGAAATTGTGTAAAAACATACAATGTTGTTGTTGTTGTTGTTCAGAGGATTATAATATACATTCCTGCCTTTTATGCAACATCAATAATATAAAGAAAACATTCAACAGCTTGGTGTAAATACTCTGATAATTACTGCACTACATATATTTGTCTCCAGTATTTCTCTTTTTGTTTTCTTCGTTTTTAATTTTTTGTTGTTGCTGTCTCGATTTATTTTGCTAAAGTTTAACTGAAGCATTGCAAAAAAAAAGAGGAAGGAAAAATTGGCAAATACGTAAGATCATCATCAATTATCCCATTTTCTGGGTGTTTACAGATTTTATATATGATTTAGATTGGGTGTACAAGTTTTTTAGTTATAATTTAACAGATGAATCATTAGTGAATGATGTAAATGGTGCACTATTATATAAGGTAGCCCAGTGATTTTCCTTCTTTTTTTGTGCAAATTTCATAGAGGTTCATTATGGGTTTTTCTCAATAACAAACAGTTTGAAAGTCCCAATCTTGTACATCTTGAAAAATTCTTTGAAGTTTTGATGATTTCTTTTTTCTCTGAATTATCTTGACTATATTATCTTTTATGAAAAAAAACAAAAGAAAACAAACCAAAAAAAAACACACACACCATGCATAGATCTTCCTATGTATTATCATATTTAATAATAAAATGAATATTTTTGGATTCCAAATTATCTGAAGGTTACCACAATAAAATATCAAAATTAAAAAGACATAATTTTTTTGTCTGTAAAAATCACTTCAACAGGAGTGCATCCAGGGGTATTATCAAAAAAATAATATACTGAGTAAATATGAAAAAGAAGTAAAAACTTTATCTTTTTTATATTGTATCAGCGTTTTTTTTCTCTACTTTGGGAATGGTGCCAGTACCAGAATGATTGGGGAAAAAATGCGTTATTTTGAATTAAATTGGGATTTTTTTCATGCATTTTTTCAGCTACCATTAAGATTAGTCATCATGAATAAAGATAGCTTACAGCTTCCACTGTCCAGGTAGAACTATTGAGTGGTGATTTATATGAAAATATTGTATTTAAATGATTTCAGAGAAATCACTTGGCCTAATGTGGCAATTTTGAACAGCCATTTTGGGAATTTAAACATTGGAAATTGGGAATTTTAATGTCTATTTTCTATTGGGAACAGTACCGTTTTAGGGTAGTAGTTATATAAAGAAAAAAAACACTGGGTATATATTTGTGTACTTCACCGTCCATTGTTGTTTTGATTTAATCAGGGTCTTTCAAATTCTTTGTCTATTTTAAAGACCTTGATCTACCCCTAAACCTGCTGGATTTTTAAAATTAATTGAAATGCATTGAACTTGGAACAGTTTATTCAAAGTTAAAGGGAAATTCATTATTAAAATACATACAAAAATTCAGCTACTCAGAATGATGGTCTGGCTGTACGTGTTATTGAACAGGAACTTTTCTTGTTTGCAGAAACATACGGTTTTATTTTACTTTTATTGGTTTCCATGGAGATTCTTTGATATTTTTCCCTTTTTTGAAGAAATTCTTCTTTTACCTATTTTTAAGTACATTTTATTTAAAACCATTTTTTATACTTTAGGAGGGTACTGACATTTGTCTGTGTTTTGTGTAATGAACCATTGAATTAAATTAAACGTTTTGAAAAAAAACCTATCAAATTTAATGTTCTTAAATTTACCCTCACTTTTACATATGAAATATAATTATTGAATTATTAGTTTGTTAAGCAGTTTGCAAGTTGCATGATGCACACAAAAAAGAGACAAAAGTTGAAAGTTTAATGTTATCCCTGTTACATATTGTTGTTATAGTTTACTGTTTATGTCATCATTTTATAATGTTAATATGTTAAATGAATCATGAACAATAAATCATTTGAGTTGTAAAATATTTTCTTTTTGTTTTAATTTCTGTTTCCAGAGTTATGATACAATTACCTGTAAGTACAGTTTGATAGAAGTCTTACTTCTGAGTGCTTTTTTCTCCAGTATTTCATTTATATTTGAGCCGTGTCTTGACAAAACCAACATAATGGGTTTGCGACCAGCATGGATCCAGACCAGCCTGGGCATCCGCGCAGTCTAATCAGGATCCATGCTGTTCGCTATCAGTTTCTATACTTGTTATAGAGTTTGTAAGCGAACAGCATGGATCCTGATCAGACTGCGCGGATGCGCAGGCTGGTCTGGATCCATGCTGGTCGCAAACCCATTATGTTGGTTTTGTCGTGACGCGGCTCATTTATTTTCAAACTTGAATATCTTTATGTAAAAATCGTGTTCGGTCCTTGTATTTCATTGACTTAGCAGCGTTTTTGTCATATCTAGCATTAGCATAGCCAGACTTGACCAAACGTATTAGTAACTTTTACCTGGAAAGCATATGATCGCGTTTAATGGAATTGTTCCATGATGGTTCCAGTTCTAAGGCCACCTCCATATGAGAACACATCCGGATGGTACTTTTAATAACTTATGGGGCTGATGGGATCAAAAGTTATGCATTACCCACTACCGTCCATGAAAAGCCTGCAACGTTTTCAACTGATTATTAATCATCATAAACTTATTGTGGGGGGGTTAAATGATTGCTTTTCTTTCTTTTATTAATCATCGTGAACTTTTCCATATTTTAAACAGTTCAAGACCATTACGTACAGAATAAGGCCAACAATTTGTGCGCCAGGGCTTTTTATTATATAGTCGATGATGACATCTATGCAATATCAGTTTGGTCGGTATTGCAGACTAACAGAATCACCAGTGTAAGTTTCAACTGAATATAACCTCTTAGCTACGGAATGCCGTTAGGGCCATTTCCTATGAATGTGTTGATCTGAAACGCGATAGTATGATGGTGAAAACGCGAAATCACGAAACTACGATGGTGAAAATGCGAAAAACTATCGTGTTTTCACCATCGTACTGTCGCGTTTTCACCATCGTAGTTTCGTGATTTCACGTTTTCAACATCGTACTGTCGTGTTTTCATCATCGTACTATCGCGTTTTCATCATCGTACTGTCGTGTTTTCATCATCGTACTATCGCGTTTTCACCATCGTACTGTCGTGATTTCATCATCGTACTATCGCGTTTTCATCATCGTACTATCGCGTTTTCACCATCGTAGTTTCGTGATTTCGTGTTTTCACCATCGTACTATCAACTATCGCGTTTCAGATTTACACATTCATAGGCGATGGCCCTAACGGCATTCCGGAATGCCGTTAGGGCCATCGCCTATGAATGGTTTGATCTGAAACGCGATACTTGACAGTACGATGATGAAAACGCAAAATCACGAAACTACGATGGTGAAAACGCGACAGTACGATGGTTACGCTCCCTTCGCAGCTTACTGAATACACGCCCGTTACTTCAGACCGCTGCTTTAAAACGCGCCGATTCATGATATTGACCTTTACAGTGAACTTTGAACGACCAATGAAAGTTTTCCAAAATCCAAATCGCCCGAAAATCTTTATACGCATTTTCATTGGTTGAAACAGATGACGTATGTATAAAATTGTAAATAGACGGGTAATTCCTCAAAATTTTGTAAACAAAATGGCGACTGTTAACAATTCAACTTTCGATAAGCTTGCAAAACGTTTCAATTATGGATCCATTAAACCGTTTCAAAAGGCAGTGGTACAATGTATCATTGAGCAGAACAATGACACTTTTGTGTGTGCAAAGACATGATCGGGAAAGTCTCTGTGTTTTCAAGGGTTTACATATTTATTTAGTGAACTTGGTGATTGTTAACCAGGTTTTCAATTTTGAAAATCCTGGTTATTAGATTGGGGTATGGCGGGCGGATGGGCGGATGGGCGGCTGGGCGGATGGGCGGGCGTCAAACGAAATTGTGTCCGCTCTGTAACTCTTCAACCCTTTGAAGAATTTTGATGAAACTTCAGACAAATGTTTACCACATCAAGATGACGTGCAGAACGCATGTTCCGCATGGCTGGCTCCAAGGTCAAGGTCACAGTGACATTAACATTGAAAATCCTGTCCGCTCTGTAACTCTTCAACCCTTTGAAGAATTTTGATGAAACTTCAGACAAATGTTTACCACATCAAGATGACGTGCAGAACGCATGTTCCGCATGGCTGGCTCCAAGGTCAAGGTCACAGTGACATTAACATTGAAAATCCTGTCCGCTCTGTAACTCTTCAACCCTTTGAAGAATTTTGATGAAACTTCAGACAAATGTTTACCACATCAAGATGACGTGCAGAACGCATGTTCCGCATGGCTGGTTCCAAGGTCAAGGTCACAGTGACATTAACATTGAAAATCCTGTCCGCTCTGTAACTCTTCAACCCTTTGAAGAATTTTGATGAAACTTCAGACAAATGTTTACCACATCAAGATGACGTGCAGAATGCATGTTCCGCATGGCTGGCTCCAAGGTCAAGGTCACAGTGACATTAACATTGAAAATCCGGATGGGCGGATGGGCGGGCGGGCGTCAAACGAAATTGTGTCCGCTCTGTTACTCTTCAACCCTTTGAAGAATTTTGATGAAACTTCAGACAAATGTTTACCACATCAAGATGACGTGCAGAACGCATGTTCCGCATGGCTGGCTCCAAGGTCAAGGTCACAGTGACATTAACATTGAAAATCCTGTCCGCTCTGTAACTCTTCAACCCTTTGAAGAATTTTGATGAAACTTCAGACAAATGTTTACCACATCAAGATGACGTGCAGAACGCATGTTCCGCATGGCTGGCTCCAAGGTCAAGGTCACAGTGACATTAACATTGAAAATCCTGTTTACATGATTTTAACTTGATTTGGCAGTCAAAGGTCATATCATCTTTGGAGGTAATTTAAAAAAGATATGATATATTATTTCATGTCTACTTTGTAACTTGAAAATTTTAAAAAATTTGAACTTTTTGAAGAATTTTAGAGCAAGCGTATATTTCTATATGATGTTGACCTTGAATTGACTTCATCCTGAAGATCTCATTGAATCCATCTCGGAATTTAGCGCAATTTTTAATGAAAGTCGTTTTCATTCGGCGGTTTTGTTTCCAAAAAAACTATATAGAATCAGAACAACATTTTTGAAAACCTGGTTTCGTGGCATTGCCATGTTTCTTGTTTTGGTATTTTGCTGATGCCGTGATGGAGAAACAAGTTTGGGAATTAGACAGATTTCTGCCACTTACATAGATCAGCGAAAATGGGGATATTCGTAGAGGAAAATATCTGTATTCTGTTCGACGAAGTACACACTGTCATGGTATGTTTTTCATTGTTCTTTTCACTTTTGACTAGTAAGAAACATGCTTTTCATTAAATTCTATATGTCAAATTTTAATTATATGTACAAAGGGTGTGAAGCTAAGATTTCTTTTTGGAAGTGGCAAGGCTAGTCGTACTGCTAGACAATACAGTGTGTCATATATGACCCGTAATTGTGAACTTTTTTGATGATCAAGTGGGAGATTTTTCTTCAAAAAGAGGGAGATTTTAGAATTTTTAAAAAGGAAGTTCTGTCATCAAATATTGGGAGATTTCTTTAATTTGTGAAAATATATACCCCTTATTTTAAGAAAAATCTTTAAAAATATGGCTGCAGAAAGTGGGAGTCTCCCGCTAAAAGTGGGAGAGTTCACATGTATGATGACCCACATACGGCAAGAACTTTTGTCTAGCCGTACGGCTAGCCACTTTCTATCTTATTTTCTATTTGTTGAAACCTTTATATTGTTAAATAAGCTTTGCATCAACTAAGCAGGTGTCAACTCAGCCCAGTATTATCATGATTATTTGTATAATTTTTTTCTCAACATTTTATTTCATTGATAGAAACAATAATGATGTATCATTGATATTTTCCTCAAAATTTCTGTCTATCAATAATGGATACTGTATCGACACATTAAAAAACATTGATGACATTATAATTAAATGTCTAGAAATAAGGAAAATTCACCCAAAAAAGGTGCCCATGTCTTACAATATCTGTTAATTGTTACTAGTGGACAAGTGCTACATCATCTGTACATGTCATAGGGTGAGAAAAATGCAGTCTAACACTGGACCCTCTACCAACTGAAATATACTGCTGCTTTCACATTTTCTCAGTGCAACTGGGAACAGTTCTGAAACATGATATACATGATTCTCAGCTCTTGAAGTTTTTCTCATGTAACAGAGCAATGTGCATTAAATTTTGGACTGCACCAAATGTCACAGGTTGAGAAAAAATTGCAACCTGATCGGGACTCAAACCAGGGACATTTGAAACATGTTTCCATGGCCCTACCAATAGCCCTATCCATCTGCTCGCACATTTTCTCTCCTGAACATTAAACATTTCTGAACTTTGACATTAATTTTATTTACTTGCTTCAAAACTAAATATAATCTTAATATGAATAAATAAATATATGTGATATATAAAATATAATGAATGAGTACAAGCTGCTGATCATTTTGCCAAAAAAATCATATTAAAGCAAGCTTTTAAAGTTTATTGTACTTAATACATTTTTTATACATAAATATACATATTACACTTATTCATGTGACGTCAACCTGGATGTTGTGGTCACCTGTCCATATTTTTTTTTTAGTTCAATTCCCTTACTGGCCACTACAGACAGGTTTGACTGTAAGTTAATATTAATACAGTACATGTACATGTTTGTATAGAGTGATTTTTGTTTAAACACCGTGGCTTCCTGAGGGGAAAAATATAGCAGTATAAAGGGTGAAATCCTGAAATCAAATTCTTGAATCTGAGAACAAAATAATAAATTTACACACACATTTTATAAAATTTTCATTTCAATTTAACATGCATGGTACATAGCCGAGACTATCTTATATATAGGGACCGCTTTCAGTGAGTAAGATGTACAT